TCTCCCCACCACGGACCTTCTAGGACTGACGCTGTGCTGGGGCCCAGGGTCCCTCAATCCTCCCTCTGCATCCTCACCGTAAAGCCCAGCAGGACCTGAGGCCTCCCCTCTGCCCAACGGAGGGAGGCCCTGCTCCTTCTGCCAAGGCACCCAGCATCTTTGAGACCCGGATTCGGAAGTCCGGATTCACCACGTGTTCTCAGCCCCACTCATGGACCTTCCCTGACTGACGCTGTGCTCCGGTCCAGGGTCCCTCAGTCCTCCCTCTGCATCCTCACCATAAAGCCCAGCAGGACCGGGCCCGCCCCTCTGCCCACCCGAGGGAGACCCTGCCCCTTCTGCCAAGGCCCGTAGTCTCTCGGGAGACCCAGATGCACCAGTCCTGCTGCACTGGCCGCGTGGCCCCCTCCCGCCCAGCGGCCTTCCCGGACTCACCCTGGGGCCCGACCTCGGTGAGGTCCCCTGTGTCCGGGGCTCCTGAGTCCCTCGGTCCTGCCCCCGATCGAACCCCACCCCGGCCCCACTCGGACTCCCTGGGGCTGCCTGTGCCCCTGCCCCTTCCCGACCTGGCACCCTTCCCCTCTGACCCAGGTCCTTAGCTCCCTCAGAGCCCCGACGCGCCTTTCACCGGACAGACGCCACCTGTGGCCGCCCTCCGCAGGGGCCCCCAGGGCCGGGCCGCGGCAGGGCCCGAGTGGCGGGACCTGAGCGGGGAAGAGTGGCCCCCACAGTCCTCCCTCTGCCCCCGGAACCCGCTCCAGGGAGGGCCCGGGCCCGTCCATCTGGGGACCCGTGTCCATTGCCCTGGGCCCCGGCGGGAGGAGCTCAGTCGGACGACTCTGCCCCTGCTCGAGGGTCTTTCAGGGTGCCGGCATGGGCGACCTGGCTCCTGGGGGTCCCCCGCACTCTGTGCTCCTTCACGGGTGGGTCTACCTGCACACCTGGCCTCGCCCGACCGAGATCCGGCCTCCCACACACGGAGGTCCTGGCGTCTCTCAGGCCTCCCAGACGGAAGTTGGCACTCGTCACATCCAGACCCCATAGGAAGGGGTCCCCTAGGGCTCACAGCATGACGGACGGACATGGGTTCCGAGGTGGGCAGGAGAGGGGCGCGGGCACGCCGGGGGGGCCCTCGGTCCTCCCTTGGCTCCTCACTTGGACCCCGCCCGGCAGGGTTGGGCCCCCGCCCCGGCACCCCGCTGAGCCGGTGCCTGTGCACCTCACACATAGGCTCGCACTCTGCCCCCCCCCTCCTTTCCTGACACGGAGTCAGAGACTGGAGTCTGGCAGTGTCACCACCCAGCTTCCCGGTGACCAGCTGCACAGAAGCAATCACAGGGACACTCTGGTCACCCCAGACCCCCCTGCCCCTCCCCCCCGGGCCGGGCTGGAGGCATTTCCACTGCAGAGCTCGCCCCGGGAGCCGCCCCCGCTCACCCTGCCTCCACTTCTTCTGCAGGTCTCAGGGCACCCCTCCCCACCTTCCTGCCAGGACTGCGGCCGCTAGACTCAGTCCCCTAGGGCTGGGACGTGTCCTGCTTCTCCTAGTGTCCTCACTGCTCACGCACAGGGCCTTCCGGAGAGCAGAGCTCAGCCCATGTGTGGGAATCAAGGAGCCAGTGAGCAGGGCTCCCTCTCTGCTGGGAGGTTTCCCCTCCACTCTGGAAGAACCAGACCAATGCAGGAGCGGGTGTGTGCGCGTGCTTGCCTTTGGCATTTGCACAATGATGGTCGGGAAGGCATCAGAAGCAAGAACCAACAAACTTCTATCTCTCCAGCTTCTGACACCCCTCCCTTGCTTCTTCCATTCTTATGCCTTTCCAACCCATCCCTAGGCCAATGCCCTGTGATTTTGGTCCAGAGCCCAAACAAGTAGGCAAGGTGTCCAGGCTGGTGTCCAGGACATGACAAAACTTTTTTTCTTAAAGGTATTTATTTATTTATTTATTTGAGAAAGAGAGAGCACACACAGAGGGAGAGAGAGAAGCAGAGTACCCACTGAGCAGGGAGCCCAGTGTGGGGTTCTATCCCAGGATCCTGAGATCATGACCTGAGCTGATGGCAGATGCTTAACCAACAGAGGACCCACGTGCCCCCAGAGCATGATAAAACTCTTAACTCTTGAACTGGGTAAGGACAGAGGCTGCGGGGTGAATGTCACTCACACACTCAGCCACTGAAGCGGATGAAACCACGGACGTCCTGGTGTCTCTCAGGCCTCTGAGGCAGAAGTCGGCACTCGTCACATCCATAGACCCCATAGGAAGGGGTCCCCTAGGGCTGACAGCACATAGGACAGAGATGAGTTCCAGGGTGGGCTAGGTGGGGGCAAGAAAGGGGAACGGGCAGGATGGGGGGGTCTGTCGGTCCTTCCTGGGCTCCTCACCCAGGCTCTGACAGGCAGGGTTGGGTCCCCGCCCCCTGCACACCGCTGAGTCTGTGTCCCTCACACTGAGGCTCTCACTCCCTGAGTTCCCTGGGGAGATTGGTGGCGGGGAGTGTAGTTTCCTACATGCAAACATCAAACCAGACTTTGGGCGTGTAAATACCCGCCTCATTCATTCTACACTTAAAACCCAAGTCTGGGTACCATTCCTACTGAGACGAACACAACTCCCTCAGATTTGAAACAAGACTAAGATACCCAGTTGAGCAAATCTGTTCACTGAAGACAGCCTGAAGGCAGTTATTTCAACCTGGAAAACAGAAAACTAAGGAAAGCTACAAGGACACTGGCGAAAGGACGTGAAATAGAAAATTTCCTTGGTAGTACCCAATAAGTGAGTGGTTTTCATAGAGAGGTTCATAAGAGAAATTTTCGGAGGGAAGTGGGATGATTCACATCTCCACAGAAACTTAAATACATCCACTTTACCTTGGAGGGATTTTAGGTAAGACATACAAAAACTACTTAATGGTGAATGAAGGGTGGGAGAGAACACAAGGAACCACTAAAATGGGTGGCCTTGGGGAAAGGTTTGTTGGAAACACTCTCCCTGCCATGTGACCCACCAGAACTGAACATGGGGTAGTGAGGAGCAGATGTCAGTCTGTTTGAGATGGTTCTTTATGGGTACTGAAGAAATGTCCCTTTTCTCCAACCAAAGCATCTCAGCCTCCTCAAACTCACCCCTCCACCCCCACCACGGAAGTGTCACGATGGTGCTTTGTTATGTCTAAGCTGCGTCTTGGCCTCCCCAGCACCACCCCCTACCCAAGGACAGGTCAGGATGGTTCTTGGCAATGTCTAAAGCCCTCCCCCAGGGCTACCATTGGCTAGAGGAGAACCTTGCTGACCAATCAAAGCCTGAGTATGGCTCCTCATTGTCCTAGAAGGACGTATATATAGGTAGGTCAGGCGCCCTGGGTAGACCACTGGGAAATTTTGACAAGGCAAAGGTGACCAGGAAACCACAAATCCCTGTCAAAGTTATAGAACAACCAATCCCAAGCATCAAAAGGAAGAGGAAGATGCCCTCCAACTCAGGTCCAGAGACAGTGTCAAGGTGATATAACCACACCCAAGCTCTTCTTCTTCTTCCTTTACACCTCCCCAAGACTCCTACCCTGTTCTTGCCTGGCAGTAACTTCAGAGCAAGGACAGAGACCTCAGAGCTATCTGTGAAGTCTCCGAGGTCTGGCCCCTGAGAAATGCCCAGTGGTTTAGAAACCAAAGCTTTACATCTACGGGGTATGCCAATAGTGATTAAAATCAACAAATTGTGAAAAGATGTGTGTGTTTGTATGTGTGTCTGTGTGCGCATGTGTCTGTATTCATGAATCCTCTGTATGTGGGGAGGAAGGAAGGGAAGAAGAAAATAAGCAGATGTATAAGAAAGGAGAAAGGTGGGGGTACTACAGGATTGGGGATCAGACCAGAAAGTCCACAGTAAGCCATATGTGGAGGATAAGGACTGGATGACATCTGAGCACTGAAAAAAATAACAACATAAAAGA